TTAGTGAATGCCTTGGTGTGGTTACAAAATGACGGGTATTAGTTGAAGAGACAGTAGCTTCCACTGAAGAAAATCAAGCTGATAATGCTTTCCTTCCTCCAGTTTCCTCGTGTCACTCAACTGCCTTTTACACTGAGCTGCTCCTGATGAACTAACACAAATCACAGCTAACTCTGATGTTCATTTAATGGTGGTAGTGACATTTCCCAGGTGGCTTTGACCACATCATCTCTTGCTTTTCATCCTTCAGTTGGGTCCTGGGCATCAAGGTAACTTTATTTTTTTCTTTTAAAATCTTCCACACTCTTAGGTTCTGCCATTAAAAGCTCTCCACATGCACAAAGGAAGGCAGAGCAATAATGGTGAGTGGAGTAGCTTGAGAAATACCCTGCCTGACTGCTCCCAAGTCCACCACAGGAGCTCTCAGCCCATCACAGGTCCCCCTCTTCACACATGAAGGAGTGCAGAATCTCTAAAAAGTAAGCCTTCAAAAATATTTTAGAATGATTTAGAATTTATTTTAAAACATTATAAGAAAATGTATACTGGAAGTGAAAACTGTAAAAGGAAAATGTGTGGATAATTTATATAATTTTATGCAGTGATCTCTGCGGTAAGAAAAAGAGTGGCTTGAAAATAATGAGCATGAAAGGAATGGCTTCAAAGATCAAATGTGCATGACCTGGGTCTGATAATTTTCCTTCTCTTTTGCTCCCAAACAAAACAATTTTAATCCTGCTGCCAATGACCAGGGCATCTTTAAATTTACTCTCTTATGCATCATGGCTAGAGATCTCTGCCTGTAGTACTAAAAGCATTTTGTCCTTACTGTAATGAACATGTCTTAATTACAGAGTCAGCTCTAATATGTCATAGGATTTGTCAAGGGAAAACAAAAATTCACACAAGGATGGCCAAAACTTATGAACAAAGTAAGTAAATGCGAATGTTCACCATGGAGAAAAGGGAGAGACCTCAGGGACCATGGGGAGATCTTATTGTACCCTTCCAGTCCTTAGAGGGGGGCTTATAAAAAAGGGGAGAGTGACTTTTTTTACAGAGGCAGATAGTTATGGGACAAGGGTGAATGGTTTTAAACTAAGAGAGGAGAGCCCAGAGGGGCTGTAGATTCCCCATCCCTAGAAGTTTTCAAGGCCAGGATGGATGCAGCTCTGAGCTGGTGATGACTAGTGCTGACATCTCTGCTCATGGCAGGGGGTGAGATGATCTTTAAGGTCCCTTCCAACAAGCCTTTCTATGATTCTGCTTCCCAAGAATGCGGGCAGCAGTACTTTAGTGATTGGTAATTTACTTCTGTGATTGAGTACGGGTCCCAGGATTATGTGGCTCAGGCACTGATATTCTATGAAGGAAGGAAATGGCCAGAGCCTGCCCAAAATCTATTGCAGTCCACTGGCCAGGAGGAGAGAAGCAGAAGTAGTTCATGATGAGACTCCGGCTTTCTTTCCACCTTCTTGAGCCCTGTGCCCACGCTGGCATGGCCTTTTGCTTGATGTGGAGCAAAGGAGCCACAGGCCGCAGAGTTCGGCCGTTGTTACTGCAGTACAGGAGCCAGCCGGGGCTCCACGGCAGTGCCTCGGACTGAGGGAGCTGCTCCTGAGCCCTGCGGTGATGGGCGGCCCAGCTCCCAGTCGGTGTGGCACCGTCCCAGTACGGAGCTGGGACACGCTCTCCTTCCTGAAGAGAGCTACAGCTTGAGGATTTCAGCCTGGCACCGCATTTGGGCGAAGCCCAGCCCGTCCTTCTCGTTCCGCGGGCAGAGGGCGCCCGGCGGCTGCCGGCCGGTCGCGGTGGCGGCGGGCGGGCGGGGCGCGCGGGGGCCGGGCCGCGCGCGGCGGGGCCGGGCCCCGGGCGGACGGCGCGCGCGGTGCGGGCCGGGCCGGGCCGGGCGCGGGGCCGTGAGGGGGCGCGGCCGGGCCGGGAGCTGCCTCAGGGGCTCCGGCCGCGGCGGGAAGGGGTGGCGGGGGCTGAGGCACGGGGTGGCAGGGACAGCGGGATTTGGAGCCTGCGGGCAGCGAGGCGCTGGCCTCGGTGAGGGGCGGCCCAGCTCTGTCCGCTGAGGTGTCTGGTGGTGAAGGGGGCTGGAGGGAATAGAGTGTAAGGGACATGGGGGAAGTGTTAGCCAGGGACGGATTGAAGGCAGAGGGAGTTGTTAGCCTGCTTTGGAGATTGGGAAGGGGTTAGTGTTAGGGGTTAGTGTAGTCATGACAGCACGATGTTGATGTTGTAGCGTAACTGAGGTAATAGATTTCCCGTATTTTGGACCTGGGACGGGGCAACCCCAGGTGTACGGACAGAACAGGGAGCGAGAGGATGGACAGCAGCCAGTGGAAAGGGACTGGGGGCAGTCGATGGCAAGCTGAGCATGTGTCAGCAGTGCCCTGGCAGGCAGGAGGGCCAAGTTCTGGGGTGCATCGGGCACAGCATCGCCAGCCGGGCAAGGGAGGGCATTGCCCCGCTCTGCTCTGGGGTGGCCTCACCTTGGATTTCTGTGCAGTTTTGTGCATCACAAGAAAGACATTAAGCTATTGGAGAGCCTCCAAAGGAGGGCCACAACAATGGTGAAGAGTCCTAAGGGGAAGCCGTGTGAGGAGTGGCTGAGGTCACTGGTCTGTTCAGCCTGGAGAAAAGGAGACTGAGGGCAGACCTATTCAAAGTCTGCGCCTTCCTTGTGAGAAGGGCTGGTACCAATCTCCTCTCTAGTAAACAGTGAGAGGACCCCAGGGGATGGATGGCCTAGAGCTGAGTTCAAGGTGTGTTTGGACAATGCTGTCAGGCATGTGGTGTGATTCTTGGAGGGTCCTGCATAGGGCCAGAAGTTGGACTCAGTGATTCTGACAGGTCCCTTCCAACTTAGTGTATTCTGTGAGTCTATAAATGTTGGGGACTGAGGAAGTGGAGGCTTCTGGTAATGCAGCTGCTTGATATATGGGGATAATTATGTGAGTGCAAGTGCTACTTTGGATGGTGTTAATGATAATGATTGGGTTCATGAGAGTGGTACAGGTGGTCTGTGTAAAGAGTGTCTGGAATGTCACTGTAGTAGGCTTGCAATGTCAGGAAACTGCCTGCTCCTTCTAAGGATGCAATGGTAGTGAAGTTATTGCTTGAGACAGTACTGGTGCTTGTAAAAGGGGTCAGTCAAGAACTTCACAATTTTATTTGTTTGGGAGAAGAAATAGATCTTTCCTTCTGTAAATGTTCTCCCGTGTGTTTCAAATGTGCAGTCAATCCTCAGTCCTTTTAAATATGTTCCTCTCTTTGTCATGTGTGAGTATTTTCAATGGTTTGCAAAATCCTCTCTTATAGTATGTGTTTTTTCACCTTTTACAGCTTGGAGGCTTTCTTGTTCCGCTCTATTTTAGAACAATTTCATAAATATATAACTGGAGCTCATCTGGGTCTGTAGTTAAAAAAAACCACCCTAGGCCTTTTCAAAATACTTCTACTCAAAATTTTCTGATTTGTATCCAGCTTTAAGCAGGGAATTTGATTAGTGAAAGGGACAGAAACAATTTAAAGAAAACCTTACAGAGCGATCTTCAGTTTCTGAGTAAATTCAGTAATATAAATGCTGATGTGGAAATGGAATCAATTGCAGTCCAGTTCACTGTGCACTGAAGAAGTGTGATGGAGGTTTTTTTATGCTTAGCAAGTGTATCCTGCACTTGTTAATTTGTTTTGAAAATTTCAAAGGGGTCTAGAAGAAGCAAAGTACCTAACTTCCTACCTCAGTGAGGTTTTTTTTCTTAATTCAGTTGTTTGGGTTTCTTTCAAATCTCTCACGGCTGTTTTAGAACAGCCATGTCTTTAGGGTTTTTGGAAGTTTCATGAAAAAATATTGTACTGAATTGGAAACTGCAAAGGTTGTATATGAAATAGGGTAGAAAGTTATTTTGTATACAGAAAGCTGACATGGCCTTGCTTCAGGGTATGGTGAGTGTGATGAGAAGGCATAGGACAGTGTATGGATTACAGTGCATCTGTCAATAGTTGGTTTCATTTCATTCCCTTGATTTTACAGGCTTGCTTATGTGGCTTTTTATTGATTTTTTTTCCCCTGTTTACTTGTACTCATTTTAACAGGAAAAAGTATCAAAGCCTTCTGTATTTAGTCACAGAATAAGTTTTTATCAATTTCACCTATTACTGTAAAATTCAGAATTTAAATTCAGATAAGCAGTTTAATGCAGAAAACAGGTTATGTACAGTGTTTCTACTCATTCAGTAATAAAACATTCTGTATTATATAGGTCATTTTGGTTTGGAAAATTTGATTATGCGACTGCGAAAAGCAAGGAATCTTGATAAGTGCCCTTTCTTATGACAATTTTTATTTTGTATAATATATGCTACCAGTTCCATTGCAGAAGTGTTCATTGTCAGTCGAATTGTGAGATTGGTAGTTATGACAGCATGCCCAGAGAATACTGCTGACATGCATATCCCTTCAGAAAGTGCTTTTGTTCCAGCTCTGACAATGAAAACTGCTATCAGAGTTGTGGTGAAAGGGAGATATTCATACTGCTAGGAGAACAGAAGGAGAGGGAAAGAGAGGCATGTGAGCAAGTAGACTTGATAAAACAAGGCTGGTAAGAAACAAAGGACTGGAAAAGGAGCAACTGCTGGTTTGATTTGCAAGAATGTAAAAGAGAACCTGTAGCACAGGATGGAATAAGTAATTGGTGATAGAGAGCTGTGTATCTACTTAGGTGTATATATATCACATATATATATGTATATATACACACACATATATACGTGTATATATGTATAGACGTGGGCTTGGGTGCTACACTGGACAGGATTGTTGCTGTCAAAAACCCAACTTGTATTTTTTATTTCAGACCTGTTACAAGCTTGTCACAAGTGACAAATGCCAATGAACACACAATGCTTTGTAAATTATTCATTTCTATAATTTTTTTCCTTCACTTCTAGCACAAGTATAAAAAAAGCAAAAAAAACCCCAAAAAACAAAAACAACAACAAAAAAAACCCAAAAAAAAAGAAAAACAAAAAAAAATGGAAGAGAGCAAGAAAAAGAAGAAACCAGAAGAGCAAGTTCAAGAGCCTGAATCAGATTTACCAGAAGCCTTACTAGAATATCAGTAGGTTAAATATCTTTTAACTTTTCACTCATATAGAATATGTGAATACAGAAAGCAGATAACAAAGACAATGTACACAATTTAGAGCCTGAGCTGATTGTTTTGAGGTTTTGTGGCTATTTCAGAAAGGTATACTTTTTAAACTGTAGCTATAAGAAAGCAATTCAATGGGTCAGAAATTCTTTGCCATTAGGCTATAACTTGAGGAAAAAAATTAAAACAAAAAAGCCCTGACACTTTTTCTGTTAGTAGCAATCTTTTGATCAGCATTTTCTGAAGTTGCAAGGTCACATTTGACTGTATTTTTTAGGATTCCTTGGCATTCACGGAGGTTTGTTGTCACTAGCCAGAACCTCAAGACCTACAGTTTGCTGTCTTCCTTGGTGCAGCTGAGAGCAGAGCACAAAGTGTTTTATTTTGAAAGTAAGAGATTAATAAACTAAAGGTCTCTTAAAATCAAGCAGAGCAAAATAAAAGCCAAGGGGGAAATATCTGAAGCAGTTACAAAACAGTCCAACTTACTTGATTTCTAGTCTCTTGAGTAAATGATTAAAAGGAGAAAAAGTAAGCTTCATGACTTTCATCTAAGAGACAGAAATTGGAGATACCTCAGGAACACCCAATATCCAACAATTTCCAGCGTTTAGGGAGCAAGGAGTAGTCCCTTGGTGTGGAAATGACAAGTGAAGTAAGCAAACTGAAAAGTATGCTCCTATAGCTGTAGTGACCTCTGTATGAGTTCACAGGGTTTATGTGGGATTTTTCTGTTTCATTTTACAGAGCACAATTTTCCATAGTGAAATAGCCTAGATTTAGCTGAATCATATCACAGACAAATACCTTCTGAAAAGTCCAAAACCTACTCATCTATTTTGTGAAGGAATAAGGAAACTTACTGGGCTGAGAAAACAACTGCACCACTTTCTGATAAAGTTATTGCTATGCATATGCTAATAGCTGAGCAAATGACTCATTTGTCTGGAGAGTCTTCTACTGAAATAGGTGCTTCACTGAAATGGAATATATAGTTTGTACAGCAACAGTAGGGGGAAAGGGAAGAAAAGTATTCTTGCTGTTTTTATCTTTCTCCCCCTCTCTGTCCCTCTTGCTCTCTCTTTCTTTCTCTTCACCTCTGTCATCTGTAACTTCTGTGTACTACTTGACTGATCAAAGGTGGATAATCATACAAGCCAATAGCTGTCACATTCTACTTTAGCATTTATCAAGTGTGCAATATTTATTTAACTTTCATTCCTGTTTTTTATTTCCTTTCACTGAAGAATGGTCACTGTTCCTAGGGAGTTTGTTATTTTGCATTTTCATTAAAGTTCTCTGTTTCAGCATTTCTTAGGAATAACAATCTTATTATGTACTTTTGCTGTGGCCATGACCACTGTACCCTGATATCTCTGGTCTAGTCTCCTTCTAACTAATATCCTTCTACTAAATAGAAAACCTGAAGAATACCTTGAAGCACACTGGCATGAGAGGATGCAAATTTAATAACCTGTAATTTGCATGATTCAGTGCTCCAAACTTAGCACATTAACTAGGAAATAAATTATCTTCTTTTGATACAGTTTAAAGCAATAGAGAAAGGAGAAAACTCCCAAAACCACAAAAAGGCACCCCAAACCCCCAAACTAAAAACTGAAGGAAGAAAAACTGTTAAAAGAATAAAATATTTTGTGATAATTGTAATATTTACCTCTATTGTGCCATATGATGAATGAAGGCTGGGAACAGATGTACAGAATACTAGAGAAATATTTTGTGGAGCACAAATTATCTTGTCCTGAAAGTGACCTGTGTAACAGGTCAGCTAAACCTCATGCAGAATGAACAAACCAACTGCAGCCTCTCAGGAGTCTACACAGGAACAGTATAACCAGGAGTCTGCTGCTCTGTAGGAGTATGAAATCCACACTAACATGCAAGCCTAGGTGTATGTGGAAATAATTTTTTTATGTGTAGTAAGCAAACAGTAACCCAAATGAGTCAATCAATATAATATTAAAATAAAAATTTTGGTAGTATTTACATCTAATCTAGCTTAAATAGCATTCCTTTTTCTAATGTTTTTGTAAGAATGTCTCTATGTTTACTCTCTTTTCATAGCATTGTGGCAAAAGAAGCAGCAATTGCACGGGTTTTGTTTCATCTGAAAGGATTGGAAGAAAAGATCAAAGAAAATATTAAAAATGTAAGTGACTATGCAACAAATTTTATTTGTGGTATTCTTACTCATAGATTCAGTTTTATTCTTTCCATTTGAATACTACATACTTTAAAATTAGTTATTGCAGTGAATTTGTTTAAGTCAATGAAACTAGAGTTAGTGAGTCACTTTATGTGCTGAAAGTTAAAGTCCTATCTGAATTAAATGTGACATATAGCAGAAATGTCCTGAATATAACATGTTAAAAAGAAGCTGCAGTAGAGCATTACAGAATAGGACAGAGCTGTAAGGTAAAGTGAGTTCAGTGCAGGTGCTTTCTAATACACAAGAGATCCTTACAACCACCTACGTATTTAATGGAATCACAGAATTGTTAAGGATGGAAGGACTTCTCAGATCATCAAGTCCAACTGTTTAACCCAGCACCACTGTGTTCATCACTAAACCAGGCCCACATTGCTACATCCACATGTGGCACTTCAACCCTTTCGGACACTTCCAGGGATAGTGATTCCGCCACTTTCCTGGGCAAAGAATGCTCTTTGTTCTAATGCCTCACCACCCTTTCAGTGAAGAAATTTTCCCTAATATCCAGTTTAAACTTGACACAATTTCCTTTTCCTCTTCCCCTGTTACTTGTTACCTGGGAGGAGAAACCCACCCTCACCTGGCCACAAAGTCATTCCAGGTGGTTCTGTAGAGAAATAAGGTGCCACCTGAGCCTCCTTTTCTCCAGACTAAACATCCTCAGCTGCTTCACATCAGACTTGTGCTCTAGTCCTTTTATCAACTTTGTTGCCCTTCTTTGGCATCTTTCTCTGCAACAAGCACAGGACAGCAAGCCCTCTTTCAGTGGGTACCTTTCCTGCAGTATGTTCAGATAAGCTTTTTAACCAGTCCTACAAATATTCTTCAATATTTTAATGCATGAAGAATAAATTGTATAAATTTCATTTTTGTCAGTAGTATTACCAGACCTAACCAAGCACTTAGAATTGCTGAGTTTCTTTGAATCACTTCTGAAGTAATGGAATTACACAGATTTCTGTGAGAATCTAGTTATTGCTGCAAACTTAGTTACAATAAAAATTGAATAAAGGAGGAAGACCATCATACTATTTACTAGCTGTGATTTCTAGCACTGATTGATGAAGACACACTTTCTCATGGATTAAGAATTGTTTTGGATATTTTTTAGAACAAGGTTGTGTAACTACTGATCTCACCTGAGTGACACTTTAAAGAACCATGCATGTGAGCTGTATATAAACAGCCATAATATGGCATCTGATAACTGTGAGCAGTGAACTTTGAAAACAGATATTAGAGAGTCACCTATTGAAATTCATTGAAAATGCTCAAAAAATCCTTATTCTGGATCATGTTGCAGCCTGCATACAACTGCAGCATTTCATAGCAGTGAAACATTGAAACGTCTCTCTGTCTTTCCCATGCTGATGCTTGCCCTGTTTTTATAAGCATCCATCTGTTTAGCTTTCTGTGGTACTTCTTTCAGTCCTGAAGCCTGGATGGTGTTTCATTTGTGGCTTGACTATCACTGGAAGTGGCAATTGCTCTTCTATCCAAAGGCTTTTATGATTATTGTGGAGTCTTATGTCTCTTATGGTGATACTGCTGGATCTGAGGGCTGTTTGACTGCCTTCTTCAGAGCAACAACATAGACCTATGTGACAGCATAGGGGGAGACCCTCAGTGGGTCTCCCCAGTTTGTTTGAGTGTGTTACTGACAGCCAGTGCCTGTGAAAGGCTCACACTGACAGCTCATAATGTTCTTTATTAACATAAAGTTGTGACAGATTAAGTTTTGAGGATTTTCAGTCATAGTATCTTTCTGCAAAAATATATTCAAAGCCACACACAGACAAGCTCTAATCCAAAATACTCAGTGCCCATAGAGCATACCAAAAGGTATTCTTATGGAGGAGAAGACAGGTTCAGTCTCATAGCTGATCCCAGCAGTTATGATGGACTTCCCAAACTTCTCCCCTAACTTAATTTCATACTATTTATTTATGTTTAGGTGGAGCTTGAGTGACTCTAGTCATTCATCTTTTCCTCTCTCCCCTGGCTGACAGGTGCTGTATGGTTTGTCGGCTACAGAGTGCCATTGAGTTCCCCTCCCTGCAAAGATTTCTATGCAGCCTGGCCACGGTATTTCCGCTCTGTTCCATCCCCCTTAGCAGGGGCGGTGGTTGCAGATTGTAGGGCATCATCATGGAATAGGTTTTGAGCATGCCAACTGCATTCCATTCAGAGAGTAGCAGCTACATTTTACTCTATAATTTCCATACCACTACAACTTCTTTTAGGATATGAACACAACTTCCCAGTTTCCTCTATTTTACCCCCAGCTATCTTTCTATAGTTATTCACCCAATTCACTGCTAGTTCATGGTCTTTCAAGGACTTCATATTTTAGATTGAGCGGGGTACTTTAAGGCATGGGTGAAGTGCTATTGTTTTAATTTAATCATGTTTTGACAGTGCTTTGAGCTCCATTCTTTATTTCCTGCTTAATGATTCTGAGCATTTAGAGTTAAACCTAGAAGTGAAGAATGCTTGAGACTCTTTCTACTGCCTACTAACTGTTGCTTACTTACTACTTGTTTACTCCTGTATGGAATCCTTTGGGAGCAAACATACACAGTCAGTAATTTCAAACAATCTGAGTGTCACTAGAGAGGGTTATGGCCAAGGGTTATGATAACAGTTGTGGAATCAGGAGGTAAAACTAATTTCAGTTCAAACAAGACTCTTTGCTGTGGTTATATACAAGTGATTGTCTCATGATTTTTCTATATGAAGATGGTACATTCTCATGAAGAATGTTGACATGAAGTAAATAGCTTCTACTTATAAACATCTCTATTAAATTATCTCCAAGCACCTTTCTTTCCAGGAATGGAGGATTATTGGTGGGCTGTACTAAGTACAGCTGTCATTTGTCTCTCAGTTCCTTCCAGTGGTCTTGAGGTCACTGAGGAAATATCTGAGCCTTGTAAATTCTGCTCTCTGCTCTAATCTTTCAGAATATGAAGAGCAGGTGTTTAGCTGGGTGTTCTTGCATTTCATATGGCACTAGGCCAGATTTTACTTTTTTTGCTTAAATTTGTCACTTTGAAAAGATTTTAATATCAGCTGTGTCTTCTTTCTTAGAATGTTGTTCTGCAGGAAGAACAGAAGGTGCTTATCAGGCGCTTAGTAAGGCAAATAGAAGAAAAGGAGAAAAAACGAGATGAGAAGGAGGCTGTAACCAGGGATGATGTGGAAGAGTCACTGAAAGCAGTTTTTCAGTTTGTGAAGGACAAAGAACAACTTCTTCAAGGTATGTTGTGCATTGGAGAAGTGTGGTTTGCAGTTTACACACTTGGAATTGAGTATGTGTTGTTGTTTTGCAATTTAGGTAGAGATTCAACTTCTTTGTTGTATAAAAAGTATAAAACTATTTCTCTCCCAAAACTGGGTCTCTCAATTTAGTGTGAGATTGTGGATGGCTTATAAATCAATCTGTCCCTTCCAAGTGATGTATAGTATTGTGCAAGTACAGAGGCTTCCTCTTTTTTGAAACTCGTGAAAGTTCTAAGCAGCAGCTCTACTGAAGATTAAAAATAAAAATTACTGATGGCAGGAAAAAAGACAAGTTTTGAGTGTTGAAAATTCTGGCTGCCATCCCTGTGAGTTTCTGTGGGAGATGTGACCTTGGTTACAACATTTTGGTGAGAACAGTTATCCCTCTTTGGAAGAATAAGATCAAGCTGTTTTCAGCAATGATGGTGGCCCTTGAAACGATGTAAGGCCATTAGGTTTTAATGTTCTGTAGTGTGGAAGAATCCCCCTTCCTTTTCCATTCCCTGTAAAAGCTCCTTTCTTAAACATGTTGACATTTAAGAATTATCAGTTCAATAAATCAGTAATGAACTTTGACATTCTTATTTTAATAGATGTGTGCTCCCAAATTGAAGAAACTAAGAAAAAAATTGCAGAAAAGCAGCATGAGAGAGATTATTGGTTGGAGTACAAAAATGTCGGAAGTAAAATACATGCTGAGAGGATTAGCGTTCTGGAAAAAGACATTGCAGATGTCAAGTATGAACTTGAAAGAACTGAAGGTCAGTTTACAGCTGGTGTAATGTAAGTCTAACAGGGCCTTTGCATATTGCCTGTAGGAATTAAATGGTAAAATTAATTTTAGATCAAGTTCTAGTAACTTGTATCGACTCTTCTAGTAATTTGCATGAACTTTTCTAAGTGCACCTAAAATGGGCTGCATAATCCTGAAAAATATAAGGACTCCCTTTCTTTATTTCTCTCTCTGTAGAAGTTGCTTTATTAAGAAATTCATACAGAAATGATGACACTTAAGAAACTGGTGAGCTGGTCCTTTGATTGTTTTCTTGTAAAATACAGGCAACCAATTAAAAAAAATATATTACTGAGAAGGATAGCAGATTTTTGTAAAAATAAGTCTACACATATTTAGGTCACCTACACAGAGAGCTCCCTTAGCAGTCATACTTGAAAATGTTGACTCTGCTGCTGTTAGTTCTCATCATCTACAAGCACTTCACATATTGAAAGCTCCTTTGACAGGACAGTAGTATGAGCTCATTCTTGGAACAGTCTTTTCTGCGGCACGCACTGGTTTACATGCAGGACTAGGGGGAGCTCTTTAGCCAATGGTCTGGGCTTCCCTCCTGATTACACAGTGTGAGGTCCTGCAAAATCGCCAGTACAGACACAGACACATCCTGGGAACTGTTTCAGCACTGTCGCAGCAGTGGAATTAATTTGAGAGCTTATATATTGTGGTGCTGAGTGCTTTACAATGATTTCTTTATTACTGCATTATTTTAAAATAATTTAAATATTTTGCTGTTACAGAACCCATGCTTCCAACAGGAGAAGGATGTCCTGGTGTTCTTTCTTTATGTCCCTCTCAGTATGCATGACCATAGCCAAGCAGCTGCTAGTAACAGGCAGTGACACTGCTCTAAGGGTCTCTGTATATTCTGTGCCAGCCATTACCAGGCATCAGTTACTGTGAATAAGAGCCAGCTATCTTTTTGTCTCTCAAAACATATTTTACCACCATTAAGATCTGCTCTGTGATGTCTACGTTTCCAGATAGCTTTCAGATATCCACATCTGTAGTCAGGAGAGGTTGGGGTTTTTTCATTATGCATTTTCTATGTTCTTAATTAATTAAAAACTTTGCTATATAGCAGCTGAAATATGAAATGCAAAAGAAAATGGGCTGTTGTATAGAATGTCAGTAGGAACAGGCAGTCTGACCTACTGCATGTTACAGAGTACAGAATGTTGTGGTTTAACAAAAATTCTTGGTCCAACAGAAGTGTATTTATTGAAAGTCATGTTATAGTGGTACATATGTAAGTGGCCTACATAACATACTGGAAAATGATGCTGACAGTACTGGATGTTTACCATACTATTTTGCTTAATTCCCTAAAACTGAACCTAGAAAGTGTCTGGGAATACAGCCTTCCAGCAGAAATTTATGAAGCTTTCAGAGAGAGGCAGCAACAAATTTGGCTTGCTCACACCTTGAATATGTAACAGGCCCCCAGCCTGACTAGTATTGACTCCATGCTTATTGTCCCCAGCCTGCAATAGTTAGCATTGACTCCATGATTCTCAGAAGGCTGATCAATCATTTCATTGTTCTATACTTATTAAGAAACCCATCGCCCTTACAGTCATGATACAGGTGGACCCAATTGGTCCCTCCATCTAAACACCATCACCATTGGCCAATTAAGAAATCACCCTCTGGTAAACAAATCTCCATAACACATTCCACATGTTCACAACAACACTTGCAGCAGGTGAAGATAAGAATTGTTTATCATCCGTTTCTCTCATCTTCTCATAGGACAATGCCTTGGAAAGTTATGTGTTGCTCTCTGTGGCCAGAGAGCTGCTGCCACATTAAATTAATGATTAATGCATTACTAATACACCTTTCATATTTGACTGCCTGTGACTCTACAGGGCATCCATAAGCAGATATTCCTTTACAGCTAGATCAGAAATAGGCTGTCTGCAACAGAAGTGCAGTGAAAGACTGAATTACAACACTTTGGAACAAGTGTGCTGTGCCTTCCTGCACAGAAAATTACTACAGTCTCATTCATTCCTTCAGAAGGAGGAAATATCAAGCAGAATTGAGCTATTTGGAAGAGCAAAAACAAAAGAACTAAAGGGAAGGATTAAATAATTAAATAGCAAATAACTAGAACATGAAGCCAAACCTATTCAGTTCAATGTAAGACACATTTTCTAAATAATTACCACAAGTAATGATAGAAGCAAATCATTGTGGCAATTGCCACATTCTCCATTTTGTCCTGCTGTACATTTAGAACCTTAGAGCCTTAGGTAAGTCAGAAAATTTATTAGGTATGTTATAATAACTATCTGAAAAAATGTCATGTGGATGAGGAGATCCAATATGCTTCTATGTCAAAAAAATTAATTTTCTAAGCAAATCTCTCATATGGCTTCAGGAGCTCTGCTACTGATATAGACAAAATTTAATGTTAAAATGCCAATATTTTAGCACAGAATTGCTTAGATCACTACTCAGTTAGCAGTAAATTGCTGAGGTGCTGCAGTTGTGAACAGAACTATGTAAACCACTTCCAATTTCTAGTTTTGTAATTAACACTACTGTTCTTTGGGTTTAGAAGGACAGTTTCTTTGGAAAAGGATATTTGAATCCTTTTCTGTGGATCATCTATGCAGGTGACACTCGCTGATAAATTGCAGTTTAGTAATGACATGTCAGTTATCTATCTGTTATCAGGAAAAATTGATGGCAAATAATGATTTCTGATTTCCATGGTTTTTTGTTTTGAAGAATATTATAGGGAAGCTTTGAAAGTTGTGAGAGAAGAAAATCAGAAACTGTTTGACAGGCACATGAAATTACTCAGTGAAGAAGCTCTTAAGGTATTCTTTTTGCTTTTTTTAAAAACTGCTAATGCATTACAGTTGGGATACATGTACTCTGTATTATTAATTATTTTAACTATTTAATTAAGGCTTCAAACCTTTCTAATAAATTGAGAGTAAAATAACCTGTAAATCCTGGTACATATGGATTTGGTTATTGCTATACATACATGTACTGTTTTTTTTTTCTTTCCATCAGAATAACAGTGGGTAAATGTGAGGGTATTTTACAATCAGGCACAGGAATCTGGGGCACCATGCACTGACAAGGTTTGTTTGAGAACGTTGCTTTTGCCATAGCCTTGATTTTGACATTTATACAGACTTCAAAAAGCAGTAACATACAAAGAGATTGCATGAAAATATACATCAATTTGAAAAAAAAAAAAAAAAAAGGTTTCACTGCACTTGTAAAGTACAACATTTTCAAAATCCCACAGTAGTGCAGTCCCAGGAAAATGTAGGTCTATTGATTCACTATGTTTTTTGTCATCTCTGCCAGCTCTGATTTTAAAACATGGTTTACAAGTAGCTCTAGTGACAACTTCTTACTTTCACAAAATGCAAAACATACTTCAGTACAAACCACTAGGCCCATTAGGTGTTTAAATTCCCTGACTTCAGTGCTGGAATTTCCAGTCATGTGAGAACATAATCCAGAGGACTGTGTTTATGGTGAGCTACAGGGGCATCTTCCCCCCCACTTCTTCCTTTCCTGACACCAATAATTAAATTGTAGCCTTGGGTCATTAGCACAGATCTCTACATGCGTAGGTCACTTGTTGTAGAGCAGTACTGGCTCATTTGGGATTTTATTTGGGGTTCTTAATAGATGAAGGTTTGATTTTCTAAAAGCAGTAAGACGTGAACAGTACTGGGAACATAGAAGAATTTTGTTAGGCAAAAAGGAAAATATCCTATTTTAATATGGGAAATAAAAAATATTGGTAAATTGTTTGACATATAATCTGCTCTAGGCAGGATGATAGAGGAGAAACATCTGGCCTTGTGAACTAAATCCTCTTGTAATCCCTCAGGGGATGCTGCAGTCTGTTGTGTGGACGTGTCTTAATTATTTCCTGCTAAAGAGCAGAAGGTTCTTCTTTATAGTGTGCAGGACTGTCAAAGTGTTGCTCTCTGATGAGATTATCTTGTGTTTTCTCAGAATGCTGTGGGATACTTAGACAAAAACTGTCGCAGAGAGATTGAAGAGAATGAGTGGCTAAAAGAAGAGGTAAGAGGATCATTTGCCTGCAGTTTATCATGGCAGTTTATGTTTGAAATACTGTGGCCTATGGTCAGAACTGTTTTCAGTCATGGGCCTCAGGAGCCTTCTGTTGGCATAGGAGAGCAATTTTCCAGTAATCAATTTGTAATCCCGAGCAGCAAACAGTGCAATGTGGTGAATAAAGTTAAGGGGTGAACATCTGCTTTCACAAATGGAGAACCCTCTTTCCTGCCCAAGCTGTTACATGAAGGACTACAATGTTCCATACAATTAAGGATTTTTATCTGTGGAGATTGGGATGTTATAAAGGATCAACCAGGTAAGTAGTTGAAGAGGGGAGGTTTGAATTCCATTAAAGTTCTAGTGCTGCTGTATAGAAAGAAAATGGATATGGATGTTGGAAACATGTTCTGAGAAATGGCTTGAGACAACATTAAATGGTAGGTCATAAAGAAACCATGGGGACTCTACACTGAAGAGTCATATATGGTTGTAATTAATTGCTTGATAGCTTTTACACGGTACTTTAATGACAACTTAGAGCTATATATTAGATAGCTGTAATTTTCTTGACAAGCAAAAATTTTTGTGCCAGATTTAGGAAATGAATTTTTTCCATAGTGAAAGTTTGATTTTATTTATTCCAGTCAATATAGGTTCTTTGTTTCAATCAAATCTAAACATGAGATTGGTGGGTGAAATGCCTTTTCTCACTTTTAGAGCCTCACAGTTGAGAACTGAGCAGAACATTTTTGAAATTTAATAAATGTACTTCTTACTTTTCCATGCCACATCAATGAACCTGACAGAAGTTTTTTCATTTTAGTTACTAATTTAAGGTACTTGCCAGAATTCAGGGACACAGCTTTCCTTCTTCCCCATAATGAGCTCTGAGCATGCATCTTTAACTTTCCAGGGAGGGTGTCCAAACCACAGCTTCTGAAGCAATGAGGGTAGGGAAAAGAAATGGGAAAGAATTAATGTTTTATTCTGTATAAACAAACAGAAGCTCACATCTACACATCCCATCACTGAATGAGTATGAATTCTCTTCCCTTCTCCCTGTCTTACTGAATACTTACAGTTTTTACACACATTAGCAGTGCCAACAAGAGAGCACTTTGGAGTACCCTTATGTCCTGACAGGCCCTCACCTCAGAGCTGAGGGATTTGGATTTCTTTCCTCTCAACTAGAAGTTTCCTATGTTATGAGTTACTTTCCTATGTTGCTACTTGCCTGTGTTATGAATTACTGCTTTGAATTTTGGGGGAAAACAAAACGATTATCACTAACTTCTCCAATTCTCTCTGAATTCACCCATTCATTTTCTCTGCTTTTCTTACATGGATGAAATATTTTCTCTCAAACTAATGTTTATATGTAGCTGACAGACTGTTTCAGTATTTCCTTTGGGGGTGATAAACTAAAAATTTTTGTTTCTCAGTTCTTTTTATTTTTTTAAAAAGTTTGGCTACTGAACTGAAAAATTACTTACCAAATAGCTCTAGATTAGTTACCTCCAAAATTAAAACAGATTTGGAAACTTCAGTCACATTTTTCCATGGTTACTCTGTCACACCAAAATGGTGCAAAGCTGCATCACCTCACTGTGCCAAGCCACATCCTGTTACTGGTTAATTTCCAGATATTTTCACCTTTTTAATCCTTGGGAGAAGTTGGAAGTAGTTTTAACTGCAAATGTGGATGATTATAGCTGGGTTAATTTGGTTTTGATGAGAATGGATGCTTTCAGATCACTTGGTCCTTCTCTTGAACATGTGCATATGGCTAAGGTTTCTGGGAAGGTACCGTTTCCATAGTACATTCCTCTCCAGTGAAGGGGGTGAGAACTTGCTGGTACTTATGCAAAAGTGGGAGGAATTGTGGGAACTGAATAACCAGCATCCTTTGGTCATTGTATCTCCACAGTGGTAAGGGGCAATTACCAGTCTGAAAGCAAGTAGTACCTGGCCAGTGTCACAGAACCATAGAATATCCTGAGCTGGAAGGGGCCCACAAGGATCATTGAGTCCAACTCCTGGTCCTGCAAAGCCCCACTGAGAGTGTTGTCCAAATGCTCCTTGAGCTCTGTCAGCCTTGGGGCTGTGACCATTTCCCTGGGGAGCTGTTCCAGAGACCCACCACCCTCTGAGGGAAGAAATGTTGTGATAACTTGGACTGAAAAATTCACTAATTCTGAGTAAGAAGGTTTTGTGTATAAGAAGGAATTAGAAGAACAACACTTGCTAAATAAGACCCTGACTTTACCTCTGCAAAGAAGCTTTTCCTCTCTCAAAGCTCTGATGTGAAAGCAAAAGGGGAAAATCCAGAGTTCCTGTCTAGCAGACCTGTTTGCCTATACAAGAAGGTTTTGCTGTCAGGGTTGCATAGCCCAAATGTGTGGCTATGATTGACACACGTGGGCTATGACAGTAAAAGGGTTCTAATAAAGGTGTGAAAGAACCAGAGAGTTCTTCCTGTTGTCTGAAGATGGTGTCACTCTGTTTCCTCACCAAATGTGCGATCTTGCTGATACAGCTCCATTTTTCTTAGGTGTGTGCTGATAAGGTAGTTGCTATCAAAGCTTTCCAAAATTCTAAGACTTTCTTTTATTCTTTTTTTAATTGTCAAAAGGTTAAGATCTACCGAAAGGAAGAAAGGGATTTGAAAGCTTCTGTCCAGCTCCTGGAAGAAGAAAATACCAGTTTAGTGGAAAAACTGATTGATATCAAACTTCAGCATCTAAGAGTATCAGGGTAAAATAATGTTTTTATGGCCTCAAAAGTAATTAATTTTTTTTAAAAGATAATGCTCCTGTCTGCCTCTAGAGCTATTTGGGCTTTCCCAGATCAAAGCCAAAGTAATTTCCAAGTTGAGGAAGGACAGGATTTGACTGAGTATACCTGGGAGTGTATCTCTGAAGGATGACAGTAACATTGTGATTTCCCAAGTACTGAATTTCAGGGCAGAAACTGAGTCCTTAATTAATATACTGAAACCTAACACTACTCACTTTGTATCACTGAGGCTTGGAAATAATTTCTTTGTGTTGCAATTAGATGGTCTCAGCCCCAGCTTTTCAGACAAAGTGCTGAATAATAGATTTTTCCTTTACTGTTTGCAAAATGCGTAAGGATGTGAAGATTCATTTGCAAATATCTAGGGGGTTTGCAGTCTTGAGTGAAACAAATGACCTGATACTGAGAGAGGAAGAGACCTTGGGAAATGTCTGTCTGCAGGGATGTCTGTAGTATTAGCTTCTTTTGTGTTGAAACGATTTAACTTTTCCCCTGGAGAAAGATTGATTTAGCTACAAAATGTCACCAACTAATGGTATCAAAAGCACAATGCAACAATGTGAGAGATCCATCTTCAGTTTGCAGTCCCAGCTCAGTGATTTTAGCCATACTGAACAAAATTTCAAGTCTTAAGAAGTGACCATTTTTCTCTCCTTTCCAGACTTTGGATTTCTTTGAAGTGAGAGCTGCCAGCTGTGGTCTGCATCTTGGACTGACTGGAGACTATAACATTTGTTTTCTTTTAGTCTCATGGACATAGTTGAACTAAGGCACTAAGAATAAAAAAGAGCAGCTTATTAGCCACTAAGCTACCTGGCTGCCTCCATTGCATTTTTGAACCATTGCACTATTCTGCCTTTGTGGCTAAGCAGCAGTGGCTCTCAGAAAGGGTGGCCTCCCCCTCACCCCAAATCATTGCACAGGACAGTTTAGAAAGAAAATATTATGGGTTTCACTTTATATTTTTTTCTCCATAGGCATTTGTTTCATACAAAGGGAGCTGGCTTGCAAGAACTTCCAAAGGATGAAATGAAAAGGGAAAACAGAGAATATGCAGGTAATGCAAATGTCAGCAACTTATAACAATTGCTAAGTTACTGAACATTTACAGACTTTTTATTTCCAAAACTTTTAATTCAAACTACCTGTTTGGCATGGAGAACACCTTGTTTCCCTCTTGATTGCAGCCACCAGAGCCATGATAGATTGTAATTTGCATAAGTAGACAAAATCACAATCTACCTGTAGTACAGATTTTAAATTTAAATTTGTTTTAGATTGTGGAATATGATTACTCATCTAGAGCTACCCTGGAATGCAGTTTTCAGGACTGGCCATCTTTTATGAAGATATGAATCATATCTTAATCAATTCTTTACTGATCCATATCATAACTTCATTATAGCTTGTCCCTGAGAGGACATTCTTAAACTGTATGTTGGCTTTCACTTTAAGTGTACATGCACTTTGCAGTCATTCAGCCAATACACCAGAGTTAAATTACAACTAAATCCCTAGCAAAAGCAGATGAAGCTACATGGAGCTCAACCTGAACTGAAAATTTTGCTAAGCAGTACTGAATTTTGGGCTGAGTCTCCTCTTCTGGTAGGTGTGGCTAGGGAAAGGATATACCAGTAGGCAAGAAGGAGCATGAGCCTGTGCTTCTCTGTTTAGGACAGTCTCTGTGGATTCCCAAGTATCACAAATTTTATTTTACATCTTTGTGTGAGTAGAAGAAAGAGGATGGAAAAAAGTAGAAAATTATTCTAACATATCTCTTTAATACAAAATTAAAGAGATATGTTAGGAAAAATACAATTATGGATACATGAAGAAGTTTGTTGAAGTTCTGATCAGTCTCAGTCATAGGTAGGCCTTTTGAAATCATCAGGCACCAGCAAACATGTTGACAAAACTTCTGTATTAAATACATGTTTCTTTTGAACACCTTTGCTAGACTTACCTGGAAGAGAAGGCTTTGTTCCAATAAGCTGGGTCACAGTCACAGGCAAACCTGTAACTTGGCAGTCCATGTCCAGAATCCTCTATCATCCTGAGAATTAGTCAACTACAGATGTGATCTCTTTAGGGGAGTTATAAGTAGACTAACTGTGTTTCAGGAACTTGTAGTTATGTACCTATAGATACACAAACATGGGTATAGAAGAAGTTTATACTTGGTTTTGCTGCCTTTCTTATTTTTTTTAACTATTCAGTGCTCTACAGGATTTAAGTTGAACTAATAAAAGCTCATATTTCCCTTCCCCCTCCTACAGATCCATTAGCTCTAACTTCCAATCAATTTCAGTCCCTGGGTCTTGATCAAAAATTGTGAACAAAAAACACATAAAAAACTCCAATGTAAATGAACATTTGGCTTGAATTGCCAATTAAAAATGCTACCAAGCTGTTCTTTGCATTGCAGGGGCTAAGCCATATTAAAGATTGCAGGCAATGCTCATATCAAGTACTGATTCTGACTTCCATAAGGCTTACCTATTACACTTCCTTTTTCTTTTCTTTAAATAGCAAAGGCAGATGGAAAGAGCCTCAGAAGTGCCTTTCCAAAGATTCAGACTAAAACAGATTATAAGAAGCCTCCAGCCAGTGATGAAAAATCATGGAAAAAATTCTTCACTCCAGCCCTGGACAGTTTGTTGTATGAAGATGAAGAGTTCCAGGTATGAGTCAGAGTTATCAGGTCTTCCACTGACACAAACATCTTTCAATGTGGAGCATGAGCTACTGTTAGTACCATTCTATTTCCAGTGGTGTTATGGCATCCCATGTCCTTTACTGGGTGAGGATTTCAGATGTTTGATGTAGTCCTCTGGTGCTGTTTGGGACAGTTAGGTCACTCCATGTCCTTCGGATGCTGGGCCAAATGAGCACAGGTTCTGTGCCCTACAGACCAGCCTCATGTGGATGTTTTGGATGCCTTCAGGCACCTCTGATGCCATGAGGAAATGTTTTGGCAATTGAATGGTGTCCTGGGAATCATCCCATGGAGTGTCAGGATGAAATTCCCCTATAAAGAATTCTGAATGTCACCTAATGAGAGATTACTTGGCTTGGATAGCAATGGTCTGGTCCTTTGGAATTGTATTGCATAGTAGCATTAAAGGATCAATATTTCTTCAACAGAAAACCAGGATGAAGGTGTTCCTGGGTGCAAAAAAACTATGGGGCTGAGGAAAAAGTGCACATTGGCCTTTCCTGTAGCTGATTTACTCTAACCCAGCAGAAAAGCTTTCCTTTCCTTTCTCCTCCGAATTAGTTTCTGTTGGGTTGATCAACTGAGTAGACTCAGAGGTTTGGAGAAGACCAGAGCCAGTGCAGATGTGATGGAAGCACATGACTGGGCTTGGAGCTCTCTCTTTTTGGCAGGAGCAAGCTGTTGCATTAGTTTAATTCTTCTCATAGAACTGAATTTGAGATTAGAATTTGGTTTATAGAGGTGATATTGGTGAAAACACAAAGAAGAGGGCAGCAGCACTGTAGCCTCCTAAAATGAGTTGGCTTGCAAAACAAACCCATTATTACTGACTTTATCAAACACAGCCCGAGGGCAGCATCTCTCTACAGTTGCTTTAAAAATAAAAGTTGCTGGTTTCGGGTTTTTTTTTTTTTCTTTTTTTTTTTTCTTTTTTGAAGAATGGTTGCTTTTCTATGAAATTGCAAAGGAAACATATTCTTTCTTCTTAAGGCATACTCAAAACTGGGACCTCTGAAGAGAAAACTGTATGTGGTTGGAAAAGCTGTGCCTGCTTGTAAGGAACCAGAAGAAATGCCAAGAAGGAGCCACAGAGAAGAGGACACTGTTGGTAAATCTGATGGGCATATCACAGCTAAGATGATCAAGGCCTTATTTAAGCAAAATGTTGATGAAAACTAGACAAGCTATGCTGTTTACACAGGAAAGTAATATTCACAGTTCATTAAATATTTGCTCTCTTCTGTGTGACATGAGGCTTTGAGGAAACTATTTTAGAGTGCCTGAATCATGATTATAAGTTCCATGAGAGGTATGTCTGTGTGCAGAGGCTAATTGAAAGGTTCCTTTCCTTACCGCTGAGGGAGGTCTTGTGCACATCTTTGGGGTATTCAGTCCATGTAGCAGCACATATATCTACTGAAAGGTCAGAGCTAATATTTCATTTGTGTGGTCTCCACTTGTTGGAACTCAAAATGTCCCTCAGACAATTTTGGAGGTTCCAGGCCTTGGTCAGAAGCATTCTAGACCCCGGCAGACAGCTGGAAAACAGCTGTGATTTTGAGTTTGAGCCATGGAATGAGTTACCAACTTTGAAGGTGGAACAAGCAGTCACAAAGGGTTAGATAGTATAGTAAAAGTAGTTACAAAACAGAGGGAAAATTTTTTAGTATTGTACAGGGGGGTTTTAACACTTGTACAGGGGGGTTTTTACTTTATACATGGGGGTCAGAAGTTCTAACATGGAGGAAAGTGGGCTGATCCTGTTCTTCCTTCTTCTTCCTTGCCTCCATGTTCTTGGTGATGCTGGCACTTATGGATTGGTTTAGAGCAGAAAAGCACCTTGTAACATAGGTAGTAGGTATTGGGGGAAAACTGTAAACATGTAACACGTAATATATCATATAAAAGATAGCAGCAGCCCTGGGCGGGGAGAGAGGAGAAGAAGAGGACAGCAGACAGAGAGGGTGTCAGGGTGTGTGTGTGTGCCTCTGCCTGGGCCGCTGATCAAACAGCCGCAGCCCGAGAAGACAATCTGTTAGATAACTCACAATAAACTGCCTTGAGACTGAACAACAAGAGACTGCGGAGTTTTTCTTTGGAAGCACGGGTTGGAGGAGAGACTTTACCACCACACAAGGCTCCCGAACCAAGCCCGGGGTTCTCACATCCACTTCCAGATGTGGAATTCCCTCTTGATCAGACAGTGAATGGGTAAATGCAGGCTGCCATAAAACACGGAACTGTTAAAAAATACATAGTGCTCTGCTAAAGCAGAATTAATTTCTGCAAGCATAATTCAACTATTGCTATAAATTGAGTGTCTGAATGCTTTTTTACCTGTCTCCACAAGATCCCTACTTAAATGCACTGAACTAAACAAAAATTAATTCAAAACAAGCATAAAAATCTCTAAGGTCTTAAATATTTTGTTTGTTTAGAATTGGCCAAATATAATGTGTAAGCCCTGGTCCTTGGTTTGTGGCTGGTCTCTTTGAACATTTATCTTAGTACATTGATGCAGGGGAGGGGGGGCTCCCTCTGGATATGCTCTCAGAAGCACTCAACAGGTCCTGCACACATGTAGGCTCTGACCCATGCATTTCCTCATTAGAAACTTGTGACAGCATTGAAGAATCTGATTTAAACCCTTGACAGGATAATCAGCTGTTTGGAATAAAGGTTTTTAAAAAAACTTACGTTTTAAACAACCTGTATCTCTGTGTATCTGTACTTCAGTGCAAACATTTTGGTTTTTCAAGCATGTTCAGCTGTCCCTGCCCAGCAGGTGTCTCCTTGGGCTGCAGGTGAGTTCCACTGGTCTCTGGGCTCCATTGACCAAGCTCCTCCAAAGCTGGGATAACAAGCAGACAGGTAAAGGTGACAGACCCCAGGTAAAGGCAGACTCCACCTAACACGGACTCTCACTTCTCTGCCACATGAAGTAAAGAGATTTTAGATGTGCTCCTGCTGTAACCCAGTGGAGTGACTGTGAAGGCTGAGGTGATTCCTATGCCTTGAGTATCCATGGAATGGGGATCTGCTGTATCTGCAGCCCAATAGACGCCTCCCCTAGTCTCCCCTGCCTTGCTTTGAGTGCAGCACAAGCCCCATGAAATGGCTGACTTGAAAGAGAGATTAGTTCTGCTCACTGATTAATTTAGCTTCTTCTTCAGATGCAGAATTAGAATGTGGCTTATGCTGAATGGCTTTTCTGTTAAAGAAAGGCCTCTCCTTCTTCCCACCACTCCCCAGAGGGCACTTACGTTTTCTTGTGGTGTAAATGTAGGGCCCATCTCTAGGCTTCTCTTGGCTTATGCCCACAATGCATAACACCATGTGCAGGACATATGGCAGGATAACATCAACCTGCACCTTGGAAAAAAGAACTCTTGTCTCCTCCAGTCAGTTTAGTCTTTTCCCATAACAGCCTGTGTGGGTGAGAGGGAGTTAAAAAGAAATCCCAAACATGCTAATTAGGGTACAAGCCACAGGCAGTCTGCACAAGCCAGAAGCAACAGCCTGCAGCAAAACATATTCATGAAGTGTCCCAAATCCCCTTGACTTCTACAGGATTAGAATTAAGGCCACTTTGAGGCTTTCATATGGAGAAAGCTGGATCTTCAACCCAAGGCATCTGGACTTGATAAATTTGTTACTTGGAAAATCTCTGAGAAACGAGCAGCATGTTGTAAAATGGGGCTGATCACTTTTTGGCAGCACAGCCAGTGCTTCCAAGCCCCACTTGGAGTTCACTACTCCAGTTAGAACCAAGCTTAGAGGAGTCACCCTTGTATTCCCAGCATTATGAAATACCTTTACTGTGTTACTGTTGCACAAGACAACTCTAGGATGCAAGCAAGTGTCCTGGTGTCTCCACAACTGTAATCCAAGCTAAGCTTCAATTGAGCTGGAGTTAAGTGTTTAAGTACAACAGAGCTCAAAGAAATTTGCAGTTTCAACATGAAGAAAATGCCCAACAAGTATTAATTGAAATTCAAAATCAAGGAAATACGGGCATCACAGTTGCATGGAAATAAAACTATTTTAATAGAACTGAGGTCCATGAGCTGGAAGTGAGAAACATCAATCCATGGAATGTCTAAAAAGCACACTGGGGAGAGGTGTGCTGAGAGCCTGTGTCCACTCCAGTGATGAAAGGAGCTGCTTACCTCAGCACTGCTGGCTTGAACCCTCTCTGAGCAACTGGCTGTACTGCCTTATAGTCTGGCTGTGCTGGTATGATCTCCCCCAGCCTGAGCTGCAGGGAATGTGGGTAATTTCACTTTTGGTCTGGTTCTTGTGAGGCTTGCAGCCTTTGCTGCAGTGAGGTTATGTAACAAGGCAATCTTTTCACAGGTTCAGACCTGCATGTTTTGGGAAATGAGGGTTAAGACTTGTTCTGCAGCATTTGTTCTGGTTTGGCTGCTTTCTGAGAGAGAAGTTATTAAACACTGCTTCTGTGGGCTAGAAGGATTTTGCCAGAATAAGGTCAAGGCAGAAGGTAATGGACTGAAAAGTTATACTATAGTGACAAGCACAGAACAGAGAATCTATTGGTATTAGCATCTTTAGCCACTGATGTTTTGCAGCTGGATGTTCCTCCAAAAAAAGGCTTTTCCTCGGATTTTGAGTCAACTGTGAAAGTAAGGATATTTTTTGCAACACTACATTTCAGAGTTCATGTTCTGCAGTCTCCCACAAACACCATATTGTTTTAGGACATGACATGGCAACAAGATGCCAACAACTGTTCCCATATGTTGACAACTGAACATTGAGCCATGCTGAAAACTAGGATTTAACACAATGCTGGATCTTAGCTCGCTTAGTGATTAAAGTAAAGTAAGAAGCTAAAATTGTATCAAATACTGCTTTTCCAAAATAACTTCAGTACTTGGGCAATTGCTGCAGCTGGCACAGGGAAGTTCAGCAGTTAATGCCAAGAACAAAGCAGAGATGCATGCTATGAAAATAAACTCAAGACCCCAGTGCTCCTTGTGTACTGCAGCTGCTGGATATCCAAAGCACTATACTTGCATCCAACACATTCCCTGTACCCATTATCACCTCAAATAGAAATTTAAGCTAGTTAGCTCTTTGTTCCAAAGCTTTTTGATCTTTGCTTCAGGAAATTTCATCATCAGAGAAGCAAGAAAATAATTAAATGTGTTTTACTCACTCCTAGATTGATATATTATCTCAGGGAGGCCATCTCTACTCGTATTACTCAACCTTCTGGTACAAAAAGGTGCTGAGTAGGTGGTAGCAATGTTATACCTTCAGGGAATCTGCTCAGGGTTTTCTCCTCTTCACTCATTCTCCTGCTCCAGTCAGGATGCAGCTAATAATCAGCCTAAGTCCCTTTGCTCTCCAGTTTGAACTTGGAAAACAGCAGCATCTCACAGATTTTTCTTGTTGGGTAAACTCAGTGGAAGATGTCAAGCCTGTTTCTGCTCTCTCCACTGTCATGTGAGAGCTTCCAAAGGTCAAGTCAAGAGACTGACAACAGGCCAAGGAGCAAGCTCTTGTTCAGTTTACATACGCTGTCATTAGCACTGCTCTTTTGTCTGTATTCAACGCATTTTTTCACTGCCCCTCGCATTTTTTCACTGCCCCTCACATTATCTTGTCGATCTTCTGCTCCCATCAGCATTTATTATCGTTCCCAGTGTTTTTAGCACTTAATTCTCATTTCTCTGACACAATCTTTATCTCAGTTATGTTATGGCCTTTAAGTTGCAATTTATTTATGTCGCTACAAAATTTGTGTCAGGCTCTGGAAATGGGCACTTTTTGTCTAATGAAAAATGCAGGGTTTCACCCTGTCCCTTTTTCTTGCTGAAGGGCTGTTTGGCAGCTGGAACGTCTGTGACTTATTCTGGCAGTTGGTTGAATGGAACCTCTGATGTCAGAAAGTCATGCAAAGACAGACTTTGAACATGTCCTGAGGTACCAGCTCAGCTTAGTTTGTGACTTTGAAACAAAGAAGAGAAGCAGCAAAGGAATTCAGCACTGTCCTCAGATAAAGACTCTACATTTGTGCTGTTAGAAAACTCAGGAGCTGTTCATGTTCTGGCAAAAGTAATTGTCTCAAGAGGTAAATCCAGTTTTCCTGCTCTAAAAAAAATTCCCTGATCTAAAAAAAATTAAAATATTGTGGTTATTCTGACACACCAGTTTTCTACACAAAGCTTCAAGATGAACCACATCCCTTTAACAAAGCACTTCATTGTTCTCTGCTTCTGAAGGGCAGGCAGCTTCTCTACACAGTTTGCGTCTGTAGATTAAAAGCCTTTCAACTCAATTCTGAAGAGAACCAGGTTTTCACAACCGCCTATTATTGAAAAGTACCAGTAATTAAAAAACAAATCTATGTGCTGTGCTTTTAAAATTAAGCTAAACTGAGTGTTATTTCAGTGATACTGAAAGCAAACACTGGGAAC